TTCACTGAAACACACAGGCCCTATTGGTTCCTTTTCCAGAAAAAGGAAAGAAATGAAACATTATCCACTATACTAAACTGCCTTGCATTACTATACACAAATGGATTTTAAGGAAGAAACACTAGAATTGCTCATAAATTTGATTCATTTCTTGAAGGAGATCCTCTTCTGGAGGGTAAGAACAATCAAACCGAGTCTGTTGAGAGTACCTGTTGCAGACTTTAAATATTTTATATTTCATTTACATGTTTATTGATCTTTGGTATAATGAGCCCCAAACTTAATGACTGTAATGTATCAGAAATAACTAAGAAGTTCAAATTTGCATTCCCTTGTAAAATTACAATTTTCTGCTTTCCTATCTCATTTGGGTATTTTCACAATACTAATTTTTCCTGTGCTTAAACACTAAATTAATTATGATCACATGCAAGACATTTTGGTACTCTAAAGAAAATTAATTGTTATTAAGTCGTTAATCCTAATTATAATAAATTTAAAGTAGGAAAATTCATTATTTCTCATAATTTCTCTTCTACTGCAGTAGTTTCTAATTTTCAACATTTTTGTGCTCTGTTTGAAATATCTTGCTATATCTAACTTCACCATATATCTTAAATATACTTTTTAATAGCGGGCCTTGTAACTGTGCTGACTTGGGAAAGCTACATATAATTTGCCATTTGCCATTTTAATGACACAGTCATGATCATTCTGCTGTAATGCTGACTGGATAAAAAAAAAAAGAGAATTTCTATAGCAATAGCAAAAAAAAAATAAATTGTAGTACAAGTGCAGTTTACGCCACAAAAATGTGGCTTTGATAATACTGTACAATAATGATAGCAAAATGCAGATATTCCAAAAGCAGAACTGCACCAAGAGCCCTGCTACTGTAATGACATCATTTGACATATGTCTAAAATGCCTGCTCCACAAGACTATTATTTGTCACTCCTTGATGATAAAAAATACTTGGAATAAGAAATGATGTGTAGTTGAGGATCTAAAACTGTTTATCTTCCTACAGTGAAGACTAATTAATAGTTTTAGGTACAGCCAAGGGAGGTTTTTTATTACAGACTCACAGAATCATTTGGGTAGGAAAAGACCTCGCAGATCATAAAGTGTGACCATTACTAAATTCCTTTTTTTGCATTGCTCATTTAACTCTAAGCTTTCAAATTGAAATTACATCAAGAATCAAATCTTCAGCTGACAATATAAAAACTTTGAAAGTGTGTGTGATGCAAGCATTAGGCCAGGGGCTGTGTGAGCACCAGGGAGCCATGACATCTCTTGGTGAAACATCCTCCCAAGGGTTTAACATGCCATCACTTGGCATGGAAAAGAGCAGCCCCTCTGCCTCCTGCAAGGTCAGAGCCACTGACCCTCTGCCTTGCCAGCAGCCAACATAAACACCAGACTGGCAAAGCACAACCTCTCGTTGTGCTTTTGTTGTCACAAAATGGAAAGCTGCGCATGTGGAAGTTTGGTATAAGCTAAAAAATAAGCAAGTGACTCTAAAGGGGATTGCAGACACAATTACTATAGAGACACAGTAAACATCCTTGGTTGGGGCAGCTTTTGATCAGCAAAAAAGGCACCACTCAGGTGACTACAACCACCAGGCCTTTTTTATAGGCTGCAGTATTATTCCATTATAAAGTCACATTTTGGTCACTTCTGCAGAAAGGAAGCTGGTCTCAAATCAAGAGAATTACCTTAAGGGCAAAAGAGAGCTTTTTTCTTTACAGTACAGAAAATAACACAAACATCTCTTAATTAAGGACCATTGAGAAAAAATTGACACAGAGAAGATATTTGGGGTTGTCTTAGAATTTTATATCTGGGTGATATTAAAACTGCCATGCCACCAAATCAAACTGAGTCTCCATATTTGATAGTATTATAAAAATACTAAGATATCTTTCTGAGAGGGAAAAAAATGTGTGGCCAATATACTTTCTTTTGTAGTGACACAATTAAAAAAAATACAGGACCATGAACTGATGTCAAAATTCTGGCTTCATTAAACCAAGGTTGCATATCCAGAGTATGCTGAAGTGTGAGGAATCTTTATCAGTGCCTTCTGGTAGACCAAGACATCAGTAAGACAAGAAAAAAAAAAAAAAAGGACCCAAGAAAAAACACAAAAAACGGACAGCTCATTGGTTTACACTGTGCAAACCATGTCAAAATCAGCAAATTTCAAAATAGTGAAGTAGGAGCGGGTTTGTTGGAAAAGAAAGAGAAATTCAGGATACCTTTATAGTTAAGGGCTTCTTTAGGAGACTCATGGCTCCTGGATTTTACTTCCAGAAGAAACAACTCAGCTCATGTTATCTTGCAAAGAGGATTACAGCCATAATATACCCTGAGGGTGCATGTTCTAAGAGATAACACATTATTAATTATCTGTTAAAAAGTCCTCTCCAATGGGCAGAGAAAAAAGGCCAGTTGTCCATATTGCAGAGGTCTTTTAATTTCCAGTTAACTTTGCTAGCATTTTTTTTTTAATAACAGTCAACTCATGAACTGCTTTTTATCAACAAGCTGTCTTAGGAATCAACAAAATCTCCTCTTTCTCAGTAAGCTCTCCCCATATTCTGATCATCTCAGATTAGTGTCAGAGAAATTATCTTCGTGATTTATAAAGAACAGAAGACACTTTTCCATCCACAGTAATCTGCATCCAAAAAACCTATGGAGTAGAATACAGCTCACTTGTTCATGGACAAATAACCTCTCTGGTATTATTTTCCATCAGACTGGTTTGATTTTCTGAACATGTCATTCTTTGCTCACATGATTACTTTTTGAAATAAATCAGATCAAGTGTTGTCTTTTATTCCCAACAAACATGGAAGATACATGAACTGACTGTTAGAGAATTGGAGGTGGAACAATGTGGGCAAAAATCAATGAGTCTTGTTCAATACTTGTGTTATGAAGGTTTTCTGAAGCTTTTAAATTATTTCACAACATAGTTACAAGTTATGAATTCAGTGAGACATTTAACTTAAAAACTAAAATGCTGAAAACCCCTAATAGGGTAGATAGATATATACTTTCCTCTTAAAGTGGAAAATACTGCAAAACTTAGTAAGAATGATATTTGAGAACTGAGGCAGAAATATCATCATCTAGATTTATTAATGTTATGCCTGCATATGCCAGCTAACTTCATAAAAGCTGTGCAAATTTATTCCAGGTGTCAACAAACAGGGTAGGGAATCCCAAACCCTTTATACTCCAGTTACAGAGCAGAGCAATTTTTTGCTTGCTTTGAACTGATAGTTCTAAATAAGAATTTTCTACAGAGATCCAAATGATGAAAAAGGGTTAACATTATTAAAAAAAAACTACAAAAAAAACCCCAAAACAAAAACCCCAACATATGTGGTATTTAAATTTCAGTTTCCTGCAAATGTTCTGACAGACCTTAGACACCACCAGCACAAAGGTGGAGGAGGCCCTGGAATAAACAACAAACAGGAGTAAAACTGGAGAAGATACTTAGGTACGTATCAGCCTAAATAAGTGGAAGGACATTTTGGACCTAGAGTCTTCCTAACAAGGCTGAGAGCAGACTTCCTTTAGATTGGAATTCTCCATTCTTCTGCTCTAGAAGTTGCTGATGCTGTTGTTTCTACAGTTACCAGCACCTTAGCACCATTCTCTGTATTCTAATTCTTTTTCTGCGCAGCTGCACTGACACCTACTCACCAGATCTGCCCTTAAACAAGACAATGAAACGTGAAAGATGAAGGAAATTTCTCTTTTCTCTCAAATACCAGAAGTAAACATTGTTCAGTGCTTTGAAAAAACTCACGGCTTCAGCTTGCTCTTAAAACAGATGGCACAGTCACCAAGGCAAGTAATCCTCCCTCTCAAGAAGTGTAACATAAAGGCAAGGTGTCTGGCAAGGCTATTCAGTTAAATGGTAATACATCCTTTGGACAAGAATTCAGTTGGAGAACACACAGAATAAAAACATGTTCAAAACAGTGGCAAGTGTTAGAATGAGACTCCACTTCCCACTACAAAAACTTGCTCACTGTGTGGCAATGCTAAGAAAAAGAAAATTGCAAATACAAATGCAGGGAACACTCATATAGAAACCTGACTCCTGGCCTGTGAAACAAATATTTTTATCTAGATCTATAATAAGAAATATAAATTTTTACATTAATAATTTTCACACTGATTTTTTATTAAGACTATTTTAAGGAAGGTTTTTATATTAAGAAATACCAATCATGAGAGAATATTATCCAGAACATCCCACAATAGAATTTTATTGAATTATACTCCCAGTTTGAGCAAGTAATTGCAGATTACTCAGTTTATTCTGAGTTATGCTGATGGCTGCATATTCTCTCCTCCTTTTAGCAAACCATCTTCTAAGCTGGTATTTAGCTAAGTATTTAGGAACCTTTAAGTTCTCTGGTACTTAGGCAAGATGCATTTTCTGTCAAGGCATGTCATTAGACAAATTGAAGCATTAGTTATATAAACTTATCTCACTGTAATTTGGATAAGAAAATAAAAACAAGGACTCTGGCTTTACTGTGCAAAAATGCCATTATTGCTCTACCACATTTCCTGAGTATTTGACATTTCAATATATCCAGTAGAAAGGGTTGTTATTCATTGCCTTTGATACTCTTCAAAAGAAGTTTGTGCCATTAATTTTAATAATATTGTAAGCATGCAGCCTAATGTTAAATTCCTTTGCACTCAGAATTTCCATCCATTTAAAAAAAAACATCATCAAGCAGAGAAGGAACACTAGCTTGCTTTCTAGTAATCCATAGTTCAGAACAAGAATCTACTGGCTATTAAAAAAACATTTTCACCTGCAAAACAGACATTTACTAAGTTTGTCTTCATTATTTCATCTGGCAAATCTGTCTCTGCAGTTTCCAAGTGAAGAACAAGATAGAATGTGCTGTGTTCTAAAGGTATGAGAAGAAAATAACTTCAGATGTTCTTACCTTTGCATTATAGGGAATATAATGCTTTGATAAGGCTTCAGGAGTGTGCATCCATGTTTTGTCTACAGAAAAGCAAAATAAAAGAAGCACTGAATAGGTTATTCGAAGCACTGAATATTCAGTTGTTAAGTATAACAGTATCTCTGTGAAAAAGTTCAACAATCATCCTCTTACTCAAAAAATTAGCTATCTGAAGTAGATAGAGGGGCTGGAGGGAAATATCTCACACATTCCCAAACACTTAGAAGAAAGAACCTGCTTCATTCTGTTGGGCACAATTCCTGTTTTAACCAACTTGGGTTTCCCATAAGAATTACAACTCCTCCCCACAAATGTATGAATTGGTCTGAGGTTGTTTGCTGTTTCTGCCCCAGATCAGGAATTTCTGCATCCTGCTGTTAAAATCACTGACGGCATCTCGTGCATCTAATGTTTTTTGATGAATTATGTGCTTTTCCTGATGAATTATCAAGATATTAAAGGGACAAACAAAAAATTATCCAAGCTATAAAGCCCTTGGGCAGAAGAAAGCCCTTATCTTTATAAAAGAAAAAGGATATGCATTAGATTCCTAAGTTTTAGATCTGATTTATAAGTTCAGACCATCTGTAATTTTTCCATCCATATGCTAGACAAATTTGCATATTCACCTTTAACTTTCCCATTACAAGACTGTCTTATTCTCTTACTTTTCCTGCTGCATAAACATAATTCTGTAATTATTTGTCAAATACATCTTCTCATAATTTAATGGCCTTCTAAAATGTTCAACACAATTTAAGATGCAATTCCAAATGTTAAGAAAAAGCTTCTTTTTATTACAATCTTAGAAACAAATTTTCAAGTTTTTCTCATTTGAGAGCATTTAAGAAAACAAAAATGTTACAAAATACTAATCTGCATAACCACACATTTGAAAGAATTTGTAGTTATAATTAATATTTTTTGTGACAAATATTGAACATTTAGCAGTATTTTCTAACTTGAGACTATCCTGGTTTAAATGAGCATGAATTAAAGTCACAAATCTGGAACTTTATTGAGTTAAGTAACAGAAAAACAGCTTAAAGCTAAATTCTACCCTTGGATAGTCACAATTCCCTTTGCCTTTTATGGGAAGTTGCAGTTACAATAATTACTAACTTTTTTGTTAGTTACACTTAAGCACAATAAAATTCTGTTCACTCAAACTGTTGAAGAGCAAAAGCTGTGACATTGATTGACACTAAAGCAATAATTAAATATTTTAGATTATGCAGAAGCAAGAAAACCGTTAAACAAGATATTCACCAGTCACCACAGTAACAGGATCAGAACTACAAAGATGGGAGAATTCTTTTTTCCCTAAGTAAATTTCATTCTAGATGGCAGTAATGTTCAGCTCCATTACTGAAGAGTGATATTATCACTTCTTAATTAAGGAAGAATGATTTTTCCATTCAGCAGCCCCCAGGGGGATGATTAAAGTGGCTCTTCCTTTTAACTGTGGCTTGTGATTGGACTGCTGGAACCAAGAAATCATTTCCCAGAATATTTTAACACCTGAAACCTGATCTCTAACATAAAATCAAAGGCTGATGTTATCTGAAAATGCAAAATAACCATCCCAGTGAACTTTTAGGCCTGGTAGAATAGAGGCTGTCAGCCCAGGAGATAAGCTGAAGTCCAGCCATCAGCTGTCACCGGGCTGGCTGGCAAGGCAAGGCATGGGGGAGCTGGCACTCAGGACAGGACTGCTCAGTGCCCCAGCCTGCTCTGTGAGCATCTGCACAGGGCCAATTTCAACTCCTCCAGGTGCAGTCACATTATTAATACCAAGGCTTAATTTACCCATTTTCTTCATATCACCTTTTACTAGCTTCATCTTTATACATTAAATATAGACAATATTTTAATATTATATATTTATAATAGATATAATTATTATACATTATAAAATAAATACATATTATATAATATATAAATATTCTATATTCATAATATACATGTATAAATATACATATTTATAAATTATATATACATAATACACATTTATAAAGGAAAATCTAGTAAAAACAGAACATTGAACCTCTTAAGGAAATTGCAGTAGTTCTCCACGTACTTTATGCCTAGCACCACCACAAACAGGTGACAGAGCTGCAGCTTCTAAACCAATTTTGCAAGCAGACATGTGGCTAGACATGTACCATCAAAACTAACTATTCCTTGCAAATGTTTCTTCCTCCCTTCTACCCATCAGGGCAAATTCAAATCTGAAAAATGTGTTTGGGAGTCAAGTGTGAAATTCAGCATCAGGTAATCTTTCCAATTTTTTTATCATGTACAAAGCTTTACTTAAAATGTTTCTGTGAAATCACCAAGTTGCCTACCAGCCTCCAACAGTAATGAACCAGAGATTCCAGCAAGGAATAACACTGCTAGGCAAGTGTTGCTCTAACTGTTGGTACCCCGAATTGGGAGGGATATTGGGAAATGTGGGCAGGTGATCTCAGCTCCAAGTGAATTTTTCCTCCTGTGAAATTAGGAACTTAGTGGGGAACCAAAAGACACCTGATTCCAGGAGTCTTGTGCTGTTGGTTAAAATAATCCAGCATTCAGATGTAGATCCACAGACACTGTGACACAGCTACTGAAGATTTCCACTGACGATGGAAGTCCATTTCTCAGAGGCAAGGAATAATTACAGAGTGGTGGTACTTTGGAAAGTACTTAATGCTAAACTAAATCAATACAAGGCAAACTCAGGCTAATAGCAAAGATGTGCAAAAAAAGCAAACTCAGGCTAATAGCAAAGATGTGCAAAAAATCATGCATGCTGTTATGGGGTAGGTTTTTTACCAGCATCTCCCTCTGAATTGTAAGGTCTGATTTTGGACTTACACCACCCTCAGAAGCTGAAATACTGCTTAGAATTTGTTTGATTTCACAGCAGTTGAGAAAGACCCAATTTCAGACATTTTTCATGCAATAAACCACAAAAACATGAGAAAAGGAAACCTATAGAAGAAGTAGTAGTCAAATATTGTGGTTTGCATGATCCCTCACCTAATTTAATTTTTAAAGATTTTTCACAGCTTAAAGCTTAATTATTCATTCTGAAGCAACAAAAAAAATATGAAGCCCTACAATGAAAATCACAGTTTGTATTATTTTATTAGTTACACAGCGGCAAGAATTCTAGACAATTCCCAGCTAAATAAAACCGTAGGTTCTAAAGAAAGAACCAAAAGCCCAGATAAAACCAAACTTGACAACCACATGCATCTAATGTTAACAGTAATAGAAAATGAAAGGACTCATGCTGTCACACACATTGGGTGAAAACCACAGTTATTTTAGATAATTATTACAGTCTAGATTGCCTTAGAGTTTATATAAAAGTTAAAAAAAATGCTCAGTTGTTTTTTGAGAATTATGAGGTTTAGGAATTTGGATTTTGAGCCATACAGAACCCAATAAAACCTATGCCTAACTGAGGTACGAGAAATTCAAAGAAGCCTGAGTATGTGGTGGTTTTGCCGCACTCACTGGCACTGTGTGGAAGAAGAGGTACAAAAAGGGTCACAACTGTGATTTCAAGGGCACAGGGTAAACCACAGCCCTGATTAACCAGATTGGCAATCCTGGGTGGAGCCTCTCCACACCACCTCAGCATGTGAATGGTGTGCTCAGTGTGTGGCACAGGCACAGAGAGCCCCTGGAGCAGCAGCACAGCAGCCTTTGCAGTTTTTAAGGGAATGTGACTTGGTTGAGAGTGACTCTGGTTTTGTTCCCTGCCAGCACACACCAGTCTGTTAAGAGAAAATTGCATCAAGTTACCACTGGGAGACCCAAGGGTCTGATTTGCAAAGGTGGAGATGGGAGCTGGGCTTCCATGGGCAGAGGATTAATGCTGCTCAGAATTGCACCTTCTCTCCTTTCTAACCCGCCTGAACCAAGCCAGCCCCTTGCCATTAAAAAGGGGAGGTGGATTTCCAATGAGCATTTCCCAGCACCTGCTCCCAGCTGGGTCCCACGTGTGAGCCATGGCAGAGCCGGGCCAGAGGGACAAATGTGTGCTGACAAATCACACAGTGAAGGCAATCGACTCTGGGACTTCATCAAGGACCCTGAACAACTGTGCTGCACTCAGGGGAAGATGACATTGGGTTAGATAACAGCACAGCTGACCATTTATCTATCGAAAAGGAAAGAGCTAACAGTGCCAAGAAATTGTTCTCCCTTTGAGATTAATTTCCCTGTGTATTACTACCCAAAGAGATTGAGGAATGGCTTATTCACAGTGCAGCTTTAGTTAACTGCCTCCCTAAACCCCACTGTCATTATTAATTCATTAACATTAAGTAACATTAATTAACTAATGTTTCTAAAGTGTTTATCAAAGCATACTAGAGCTAGTGGTCATTCACTTAATATGATGAGCAGAGAAAGACTTTGATTTTAACTTTTTCTTTTCTAGTGCTACAGAGAAAATACAGTAATTTCTAAAAGGTAGAAACTAAAGCCTTTATTCTTTATTAGATCAATATCGTTTCACATAGGTGGGTGCTTTTATTGCTAACAGAAGAAATCCTGGAACTGTCTTTTCTTCTTGTTTTACAAAACTTTGTATGAAAAAAATATTTTCTGTGACAAGCAGCCTAATAAGAGTCTCCTGAAGAAGATATCATCCTAAGAGATCCGTAATACATCTAGGTATTACTGCTTCAGGAACAGCTTACTTGCTTCAGTGTATGTACATAAGTACTCATTATTCCTAGATTACCTATTTTTCTGTAAAGAAAGAAAACCTTCACAACAGGACATAAAAGAACTGTCACCTTGTTAAATAATTTCCTTTATTCTGACTGCAGTAGAAACAGGCAGGTGCTCACAAAGCATCCCTTATGCTGGTCAGACAGCAAGGTAGAAACTGTCTCCTTGACCACTGCAGGTAACACATGAATAGCTAAACTGAGGCCTGAGACTAAATGCTTGGCAGTAGATTTTTTATTAGAATGTAATATTGAAATATTACTAACAAAAAACCTAGCCATATTATTGCATTGTTCAGCTGCAGCAT